CATGTCCGATGATCGATAATATGTACGGGTTAGACAATGACACTGGAAGGAGAGGTGACTAGACAGACTGTTGGGGTGGAACGTGTGGAGGGCGGTAAACAGATTCAACAAGTAGATTAGTTAAGTACTACTTATTTCTGGTAAACCTGTACTGTTCAGGAGATAGAATTCCATGAGTCACCAGGTGCGCACATATTTGTTTTCTCACTATTCGTTCAAGGCACTTGCACAGTACTGATGTTAAACTGACCGGCTTTTAGTTTTCCGCCTTCTGTCTAGACCCCGTCTTGTATATTGCTACCAGGTCAGGTTCAGTTCAGTTCTCACAGGACAAATTGTGGCTGTTGCCAATCGCGCGTCCAGTTCCTTGTGTTGTCGGTGGTTTCGTTGGCCTCAAACACTTCGAGTTAATAGTGTTTTCTGAAGGGCAGAATGTTAGTGTGCAGTATCAGATCCCTTATAATGTTTCGGAAAGTAAAGCCTAGCGATTAACTTTCAACATTCAACTTAGGGAAATACCACTGCCCAGCATTCATCCAGCCTTTACTTGAAAGATTCGACACTAATACAGTTAACCACTGCTTCCACAGTGGTATTTATTCCACAGTGGTATAACCTGCTTGTGAAGAACCTAGCCCTTAGATTTATTCTACAATGACTTCTTTCCAATCTAAGTTGATGCCCCCTCTTGCCCCTGGTAAGAAAAAACGAGAATACGTCTTTGAACTGTAGACCCGAAGGCCCTTTGACAATCCTAAAGGTTTCTATAAGATCGTCCCGCATGGGTCTGCGGGCCTGGGAGAACAGGTCCAAGTCCCGCAGTTGTTGGAGGTGTCCCTTACCTTTCTGGCCTGCTACCATTCTAGTTGCTTAACGCTGTACTTTCTCAAGAAACCGTTCTTCCTGTTTAAAATAAGACGCCCATGCCTGTACGAAATATTCTAAACGAGGACGCACGATAGTTTTATACAGAGGTACGAAAACCTCCGGTCTTCTACAACTTACAACAACGCACAACCTGAAAAGTTCGTGTTGAGCTTCATTTGCCGTACGCTTGAACTGCAGTGGTGTCCTGAAGTCGTTTGTAATCATTATCCCTAGATCCTTTGCCTCAGAGACATGCTGCAAATGCATCACACCTCTCGTGTCATCATTGGATCTTGTGGTCAATAGCTAGCACTTACCTAGATTCAGTGGCAGATCCCACTTATCTTACCACCTTCGAACTGCATCTAGATCTTGTTCCTGTCCTTCCCCAGCTAACTTGATATCATCGGCAAACATGAAGCAAGGATTTCGGAGATCCTTCACAAGATCGTTAATGAGGATCAAAAATAATAAGGGATCCAACGCCGAGCCCTCTGTGGGGCATCACTCGATATTCACTCAGGTTTGGTTTTATAATTTCCAACCCTCACACTGAATGTGCGACAGTTGAGAAATAGTCTTACCCATTCTGTTGCCTTACCTAGAATTCTGTGTCTGCATGTTTAGATCCAGAAGCCGATGATACAGGGGTGATGGTGGCTTCAGGCCAATCAGGCGTCCAGAATTCCTTCGGTGGTGTGCATCCACCTCTGCGATTGATCGGTTTCTCTTTCTATCTGAAGAGGAGACCATACGTCTCGCCGTGTCGACGAGAGGCTTTTTATTGTGAAAGTGTTTCATATTACACAAAGGTGACTAATGTCTCTAACATTCTGTGTCAGGGAAAACCTCCAATCCTCTGACATCTAGACCTTTTTTAAATGCTTGGACGTTTGGCTGGTTGGTCAGTTCAGACGGTAATTTATTCCAATTATTCACTACCCTATTGTTAAAGAAATGTGCTCGTAGGTTCAGCCTAGAACGCTGTTTCGTAAGTTTGAGCTCATGACCACGCGTTCCTTGGTAGAGAGCCTCAGTGAAGAGGGACCCCGGATCTAAACCCAGCAAACTTTTCGTAATCTGAAATAATTCGATGAGGTCTCCGCGCAATCTTCTCTTGTCTAGTGAAAAAAGACCGAGCACGCACAACCTCTCTTTGTATGTTTTACTTCGCGTGCCCTCAACCATCCCTGTTGCTAGTCTCTGGATAGGCCGCGTCCTTTTTCTAGAGGGGCGACCAAGCCTGAGTGAGGCTTAAATTGGGCCTTACGATGGATTTGTAGATGGGTGTAAATACGTCTGCTTTCCTACACGAAACTGCTGACCTTAGTCGAAACAGCTGGCCTCTTGCCATGTGAGCTGCAGCTTTGCATTGGGTGCTGCAACTGTAATATGTAGTCACTATGACTCTTAGATCCTTGGAACTGGTTACAGTGCCTACTTCGGATTGCCTCCAATCACCTAGAGCCTTCAATGGTTCCCGAGTTCTAGAGAGCGACTGACTTTTTGTTACACTTAGTGGTAGATCCCATTTGTGGGACCACTTGACCACCTTCGCGCTATCTTCTTCTAGATATAATCTCTCACTAGATCCAACCACCTTTACATCACTAGTGAAGATGCATCGTGGTGGGCTGGTAATTTCTGCCAAATTATTTATGAACAACAGAAATAGAAGCGGGCCTAACATCGACCCTTGTGGCACGCCAGTAGTGACATGAAAGAAGTTTGTCCTCCTCCATTATTGCGAAGTGTCCTATTCGTCAAGAATTCCGCCATCCATTTATATACTATTCCTGTGATTCCGAAAAAAACCTAGATTATTTAGAAGCAATGTATGACTTACTGAATCTAACGCCTAACTGAAATCAACGTAGTATACCTCTACTGTTCTGCCTCTGTTCACCGTCTCTGTGACCTCGTCTAGGTAGTATAAGAGGTTATTTAGGCACGACCTGTTTTTCATCAGGCCATGCTGAGACTCGCTTAGTAATGCTTACTCCAAGAGGTGGGTATAGACATGAGTCCTTATTAGCCAATCCATGCATAGAATACTAGTTAAGCTAACTCTCTGTGGTGCTGTGGGTTAGTTCTACTATCACCTTTATGTAACGTCACCACAACGGCAGTTTTCCAGTCTTCCGGGAGCACACCCTTTTCCATTGATTTTTGAAACAGCACCTTTAAGGGGTCTACTAAGACTTGGGCCAGTGGTTTCACAATGGCGAAGTACATACCATCGGAACCAAGGGCCTTATTTACGTCCAAATTCCCTAACATCTTTTGCACCTCAACTGCAGATATATGCATCTCCCTTATGCTCCGTGGTAGAGAGGTCGGGGTTGTAATATCCGGTTGTCTATCCTATAAACGCTAGCGAAATAGTTGCATAATGCTACTTCTTTGCAATGATCGTCTGCTACTACCGAGTTGTTTTCCAGAACCAAGGCACCTATGATGCCATCAGGTTGCATTTCGATTGAACGTGCCTGGAAAAATCTTTCTAGTTTGGCGTAACGTTTTCCGCTAACTTTAGTTCATATTTTCTGTTTTCTACTATATAAGTATAAGACTGACTGTCTTATTCCTCTGGACTGTGTGATTTGTCTATTCCAGCTGGTGTTGAACTCTCTGTAGTGTCCTCAGCTTCTGTTTCTTTTCCTTAGAGACCACTATGGGGGCTTATTACAATCTTCCCCAAATTTAAGGGGACGAACTCTTCTTGGAGTTACTGTAGGTAACTTTTGATTCTATGCCGGAGAGCCTCCACTCGGATCTGGTCACTTCCTGCTTCCCATTCAAGTGTTAAGGCTCTTGCCTGTAGGTTACTCGCGTCCATTTAACTGAAGTTCCTAACTTTCCGGCTAGGCGCTATGGACTCCCTGGAATTGAGGATCACTTTTATCACTAGATGATCACTGTTTCCTTTAGGTGGGTGAAACTAGAGGTCTTCTACGTCCCTTTGGTATTTAGTAAACTCCAAATCTAAGGGCGATGGTTTTTGCCTAGTCCTGAATCTTGCGTTTTTCCTCACCTGTTGCAGGAGGGCTCTGGGATCTATCCATCTCATGAAAATTTCCTCTGGTGTACCCTACTAGCAGGTCCCGGTGGTCCACTGAATGCCAGGTAGGTTGAAGTTCCCAGCAACTACCAGTTTCGGTTGGGCCTGTGCTGATGCATCCAGTGCTCTCATTAGTTACTCATCCTTTTCTATGGTGGCTCCAGGATCCCTGTACACACTGGCTATGGTGGCGTTGTTTGTCCTGGAAAGTAGTGAATAAGCACACATTTGTATATTAGGAGTGCTAACGTCTATGCCTAATTTCCTGTGGAGAGTTTCTTTGCAAACAAGAAGTGCTACTCCTCCACGTTGCTCTTGGCCGCCCTTTATTCTGCCCGTGGATTTCAAAGCGGTTCGCGACGGTATGTGTTATGTGGTCGCTTTCACTGGACCATATTTCAGCAATCACTGTAGCTTTGAGTTACTAAGATGTTGTATTGATCGATCTGTAAAAATCCATCCTGTAACGCCCAGTCAATCTATCTCGGTTCCACATTTCGTGAATTTCACGTTCCATTTACTAAACACCACCCGCATCACACATACATAAACATTTGACGTTCCACTCCATTTGTATATTTACACATCGACCCTACCATTTGACTTTGTTCGTTTACCTGCTTCATTCGTACCCTACTTGTTTTGATCGCGACCTGAGCGCTCACATTTGGCTCGTTTGTGTGCAGCGTGACGGTGAGTGTGCTGTTCTTATCCAGGCTTATTTTCTTCTGTTCAGATTTGTTGAAGTACGCTCACGGTAACAATTGGCTTTTGTTTTCAAGTTGTTTCGAGATCACTGAGGTTTGTACAGCTTTTATTTACTTATTTGATAGTTTATTAATGCAGTACCGTAGAAACTTGCTGGATCGTTCATTTTGTTGACGTTTTTGGATCCGACTTCAACTGCGCGTTACTCGTTGATCTTTATCGGGAGACAACCGGTTCTCCGTGGAAGGGGGAGTTCCAAAAAACCCGGAAGACAAGGAAAATAAAAAACAAACGTGAACTGAAAGATCCTGGGAGACATGCACACGAATAATAATAAATCCCAAGTGGCGGTGACGCGCTGAACTTGCTTAGCGTTACGACACAGTCCTTTTACTATTGACCTGGTTGACTTTCCTCGTTTAAAATGATCGATAATGGAGGGTGTTTATTCAAGTCAGATCTTTGTAGGTACTATCAAATGCTGCACGAGCGCTTGTTCGGATATGGTGTTCACTAAAGCCATCTCGAATCTATTCTGGTAGACAGTCAACGCATTAAAATTACCTAGAATAAACAAACGATATACCTACCTGGCAGCGCTTTGCAGCGCCGGAAGTGTTTCTTCGTTTTATCGTTGTGATGAGAGTGGGCTACGGTCATATAAGGCCGGTTTGCATAGGAATGCTTTTGGTCACGTCCAATCTCGGGCGCATACGGGTGCTCACCCATCTCTGCAACTGGTCGGGTTCCCTTTCTACCTACAAACGTTAATTCTCGCCGTATCCACAAGTGATTTATAATGCGTTATTAGTTGCCAAAATGTGTTAGGGGACATACCCTATGTAACTACAGAGCTGCTGGGCCGAATGTAATCCATCCGCCTGTAGTTCAACCACTGGCCGAGATTCTAGCTTTACCGGTGATGTTGCTTTACGCGGCCTCACTCAGGGAGGGAAACCTTTCTGGAGAATATGAGACGGTAACAGTGGCTGGCATATATAAGGGTGGAGCCAGGCAAAAACCCACAAACTGGAAGCCAGTTAGCCTAACATGCATACCATGCAAATGCCTAGAACGTATTGTCAGGTAACAATTATGCAAGTATCCTGTGGTACACAGCACAATAACACCCGCGTAGTACGTATTTGTGACATGCAAGTCATGTGTAACAAATTTTATGTTGTTCTTAGACGAGGTGACCAGGAAACCCGACGAAGGCCTCGCTGAGGTAGTCTGCTACATGAATTTCAGTAAGGCTTTTGATTTGGTCATTGACAGAAACCTGGACCACAAGATGCAAACTGATGGCATCACAGGTAATGCCAGGACCTGTTTCAATAACTTATTCAGGGGGAGAACCTTCAGGATCAGAGTTGGCGCGTACACTACAGCCCAGTAGATGTGATTAGTGGCGTATCCCAGGGGCCTGTACTGGGCCCATTGCCATTCTTCAGCTTCATCAACGACCTGCCGCTGGGTTTGCGGAACCCAGGCTAACTATATGCTAACTACGTGATGGGAGCGGACACAGAACTTGATGAAGATATTAAGGCTTCATTTTCCGGTCATATAAGTGGGACCTGCCACTAAATCTGACCAAATGTCAACGGTTAGTGGCAAGAAGGGAAGTTATCTCTGACCAGATAGGGCACGTAATGGAGGTAACGCACACTAGGGACCTGGGTGTTATGGTCTCTAGTGACTTCAAGCCTTCCAGGCATAGCGACAGCCAATAGGGCTAAAGAGGGAACATTTTAGGATAGAGGCAACAATGCCCTGCCGGGACCCGAAGTTTCTAGTTCCACTCTCTATGCCTATCGTGCAGCCACTTCTGGAGTTTTGTATGCAAGCATGGGCACCGTACTTACAAAAGGACTTGTCTAGAAAGAGATCAGAAACTATTCACCACATTGGTATCCGGTTAGAGATGAAGAGCATGGGGACAAACTAAAAGGTCACAAATTTTTCTCCCTTCGATGCAGACGCATGAGGGGATTTGATTAAAATTTTCAAAAAAAATGAACGTTCTGTCGGGTATCAAAAGTGCGGAACTATTCTTTGCGATCCCGGACAGTGGCACCCGGTAGCATAACTTCAGACTCCAGCTTAATCACAGTAGGCTGCAACTCCGAGCCAGCTTTTTCACCAACAGGGTGATGCCATCGTGGAATGCGCTACCAGATGCAGTAATATAGAGACTTTCAAGATTGTCTTGGATGAGTGCTGAACAGCAGTTTACCCAGAGGCGGCATCCTGAGGAGCAAGAAGCTAATGAAACATGCATGCACGCACGGATACACACGCACAATCTAGTTGGTAAGACTTCATGTATAAATATACGAGTACAGGCGTGTACATATACACCTATGTTACATGCCATTTGTTCGTTGTTAGCATGTTGTGGTACAAATATGAAAGTACACAACCGCAACTCTGGTTAGTAAGTGTATATTTAGTAAGTGTATATTTCACGGAGCCCC